AACAGTTCAATGAACCACGATGAATCAGAGAAGAGGAAAAAAAAACAATACTCCTGTGGCTTTGTGTGTTAAATTATCTCGGTTCTCAACACCAAATACATTCATCCGCTGTTGTGTCCCAATTATCAGATGAATAGCGGTCACTTGTGCTTTGGAGTCCTATGAGCAATAAAAATTTAGGAAACTACAGTACATTAGCCGATGAGTGTAGTACAATTACCACAATTTCTTCTTCATATAATACAAATGTCAGAGTGATTTTTTTTTTGAAAGAATGTACTTTGTATTAGATAAATGTAAAGTACATCATCTCAAGGACCTTATTAAAAAACCTCCCTAACCTTAAGTGGAGGAAAAAGAGTGTACTAAGAGGTGGAAATGATGAAATACAACAATTGCTTCTTACATCAACACAAGACATCCCCCAACCACAACCCACCTTAAACAAGCACCATAACAGACCATACAACAAAAAGAAGATAGAACAAACACACATCAAAAACTGATCTACAGCAGACACAACAGCAATGGGAGGAATCCGAACAGCAGCCGAAACCATAGTCACCACACCTGCTAAAACACTGATACAAGATCTGGAAATCTCACTACAACCACTATAGCAACAGAACAGGCAATGCAAAAGCAGACCAGCAGAACTGCATTGGACTAGCAGAACAAGAAACGCTTCCTTCAAATTCATACGCAAGATGTTCAAGATCACAGCCATTAGCCGCCTGATAGTGAGAGACAGAAAAAAGGACAAAACAGAGGTTAGGAATTTCAACATAAAATCCAAGGCTCCCTTCACAAAAAGGATTATAACCAAATACAGTCTTGCAATACTGTTCATGATGCATTTATTGTCAATATCATATACTGTTCATGATGCATGTATTGTCAATATCATAATGGTGGAATGCCAAAAAATGTCATAATGATGTGAGATTTTTATGAAAATGACCTCTTCGCATCATCTAAAGCAAAAATATTGATCCCAAATGGAATTACACAAAAACTTCGTGAAATAATCAGTCATGGCCACAAGATTGTCATGGATAAATCTGATTGTTCTTATAAGCGAACTGTTAATCAGAAATCTCTTACTCTTGTGAGCCGCATTATTTATTTCAGTATGCATTTTCCCTACTACAAATTAGAAAAATATCATTGTGCTCTTAAAGTTCAACAAAACTTGTTTTAATCCAAAATAATTTCCGCGGTTTAATTAGTTAACAAATGACTTTATGCAGTAGTTAGTATAAGTCAAGAATCAAGATTACCTCAACACATTGCAGGTACAACCTTAATGCAAGTTCAGGTGATGGAACAGCTGATAGAGAATCATCTGAAAGAACCATTAGAGTGATCTTTTGCATATTGTGATATACATGCATAAGAATATGAACACTGCAGAAGAAACAGTTACAAATCCATGTAAATAGAGAAACCTGCGTCAAGAGCTGAAAATTTTTCTTAGGTGTCACTGGCATATCTTCTCCCACTACATCCCCCTCCAGACCTTGCGATTGCCTAACCAACTGTACATAAGCACACTACAATAAGTCTGAACTATATATGCTACTAATATAATATGTGTTTAAGCATATCTTTTTCATTTTTTTAGGAATTTGTTTTAATAATTCTAAATTTAATAACTATGTATAAAAAAATAAACCATGCTTTTCATGAGAAAGTGGGTAGCTGAATGAGGGGAAAGGATCTAAAAAGAAATAATGATTACACCTCAAACCCAACTGCCTGCGTGTATAATCTTGTAGATTTTGACAAATAAGCATTAAATACTTCATCGTAGTAGATGGAAAAATGATCAGACAAAAGTACATAACAATATGTAAAAGGAGAAACATACCCTAAGAGCTGTAAAGACAAGTGAAGAAACTGTAAAGGGTAGGCGTTTTGGTCCACCAGCCATAGTATGCTTCCTCACAATACATATAATCTGAAGGCAGTTGATTATAATATATGTTCAGATGGGAAATAATTTGGATCATTCATAAACAACACAACTAAAAGAAAAACATTGAAATTAAACAAGAAACTATCCTAAATATGTCACAGCTATGACATTTTATGGAAATTGAAGAGGCATGAAACCTGTCACAAACCACAATTAGAAGATAATGAAGTTCCATCTTCATATCCTATAATACTATTGCACTTATGTATTGTAGTCGGGGATCTTGTCCTGGTAATGAGCAGAAAATTAGCATAAAAATAAACACTGGAAAAACTTATCTTCAACATTTCCTCTGGTTCATCATTATAAAGCATGTGTATGAGTCGAGCAACCGAATTTTGTTCCTACTTAAAATCCTCCTCATCAAGCTATTGCAAGATACATAAAAAATGAAGATCACAAGAAATGAATGAATATAACTTATGTACATCCACAAAAACATGGTAGGGAAACTGAGCAACAGGAGAGAGAAAATATAACATAGATTTTCAGGAAGGTAATGAAAAGTACTGAACTCAAATCTATCAAAATTTAATAGAATTGCAGGAAAATTCTAGATTTGTTATGCACCTCTTCCACATCAGCACCATCAATGTCCTTAATGAGTCCTTTTATTAATCCAAACATAACCTCAACCTACAAAAACAAATATCAGTTTATTCAATAAAAGAAGTTGATGCAATTAGATGAATAAAGAAGACCGAAGAGGCACACCTTGTCTGCAGTTGAAATGCAAGAGTAGTTCTTCGTGATGCTTTGAATGATAACCATTGTCATGACTTTATTTGTTCCACTATCAAGATGGTACATTACACGTAGATAATTAGAAAGTGTTAAGGCTGTTACTATATCATTGTATTTCTCCATGGAGCACTCAAAAGTGCAACCACTCGTTTCTGATACATTCGCCAATGGTCAATGCCATAAAAATAGCACAGCCAAAGTTGCAATACTATAAGAGATATTATGTAAATAGAGTCCTCATATGAAACATACCAGCACTTGATCCACATGATCAAGTCGATCAGGATGAACACAAAGTGTAAATGTAAGAAGAGATACAAAGTTATAGCTCCAACAGCAGGCATGCCTACCTGAGCTTCTATGACCTGCCATTGAATCATACCCAATCATCTAGAAGAAAAAAACTCATTATTACACATTAAAGAAATCAAAAATAAAAACACTAGTGTACTGTTGTCAGTTTCCACTTGGATCTGTCCGGCTCTAAAGTTCCACGCTATTTTGAGTCCCTCGAGAAGAGCCCACAGTTCGGCTTCTGTTGTCGAGCAGCTGCTTATTATTATTATTATTATTATTATTATTATTATTATTATTTTTTTGCAAATCCCTTAAGCCATTTCCCTTTTATGATTCCTAAGACTCCCCCACACGTTGCTTCGCCTGAAACCATGTTTCTAACACCATCAGTGTTGATTTTGATCCAAGGTTCCCGCGGTGGTCGCCAACCATCCGTGTTTTGATCTCTAATCTGTATATTTTCCCGTTTCGTTTGGTTTCTGCCGTTGTTAATCTCCTTCGATATTCTTTTAGCTTTCTCGATTGCGGATTCATGCTCAGTTGTTTCAGGGTCAAAGATATTTTTGTTCCTCCTGTCGCCCACAGAATAGCTCCAAAGAAGGTAGGCCAGTCACTGTCTTCCATCTCAAACTTGTATTTGTTTGTTAGATTGTCTTTGATCCAAACTAGAATATCGTCGTTCAGGAACTCTTCTATTTTGCTGGGGTGGATCAACTGTCTCCAAAGAATGCTCCAATTCCAGTCGCTGTTGCTTTCCTTCATGTCTTTAACTTTAACGTTGGATTCATTGTTACTAAGCAAGCACCACGTTAACATTAACAATTTGAACGTTTTAACGATGTCGATAAGTAGTAATGAATTCAACAAAATTTAAAAATGAGATTTAGAATTTCAATATATTTTTTAACACATATTAAATATGTAAATTTTTTTAAAAAAATCTCAATCTTTTGATGTATTAAACTAATTTTTATATATATATTTTTCAAAATAATAAGATGCACATACACTTGCTCTTTTATTATATTTAGAACATTCGCCCAGTGGATAGGGTCCAGTTAGTGGTGCTTAATGAGTTGGGCAGCTCATGAGCAGCTTAAACTCAACTCGGTTAAAATTCGACTTGAGACTTTAATTAGTTGAGTTGAGTAAAGTTCAACTCGACTCGATAATTTCGTGAGCAGCTCGTTAATTTTTTATATAATTTTTTAGTAATTATCTTAAAAAATTATTTCATCCACTCAAAACTCAAACCTTATTTATTATTTTAATTTATTTGTATATTGTTACTTTGGAGTTTAGATTTTAAAATTACTTCATACACTCTCTTGATAATTTTTTTTTGTTAAATTTATTAATTTATGTTTATATTAAGTTCTATATAGTATTAGTAGATTTTATCTATAGTTAAAAAAAATAAGATAAAAATATTAGTGAATTTAATGAATAACAAGGCGAGCAATGAGCATCGACCTTAACGAAATGGTCAATTAATCTTTCATTAACGAAATGGCGTTGTTGTAGTCTGAAAAAGAAAAGAAAGAGGTGAGTATCTAAGACCAATCTTTCTTGGATATATGGGTTAATATTTCAACTACTCTTAAGATACAATTTATAAAATGGTTTAACAAGTAATACAATACACACTTGGTTGGTGAAGTTAGCTACACTTTGTTTATTAGATTCTTAAAGAAAAGGTCAAACGTGATATCATTTGAATTTTAGTTGGAAATATAGATGACTGATTAGATTGATCAATAAGATAGTTTTTTCCCCCATTTATTTATTAGAATATTGATTGTTTCTTTATCAGCTTATTTAGCCACATTGCCAATTTCTAGATATTTTTTTAATTTTTATGAATGAATTATCAGTTCACATGTTCCCCGTTCCTTTCTCTTATCGATGAAATAAGGAAATTTCTTTGAGATTATATAAACTTCTAGTGTTTGCTCGACTCTTTGAATTGGAAGAAAAAAAAAAGAATCAGTCAATAGATAAGAAGGTTTGAAGAACAGTGAATTTGGACGACGATGGAGGTTAAAACGGAAATTACAGCGAACGTAGAGATTGGCGGGCTTGTAAATTCTGCGCTTCCTCGAAATGATTTGGTCTCGATCTATGCATTTCCGGATTCAGGTATTGTTTCAACTGCTTTGATCTATCCAATAATCTGTATAAATGTAGTCATCTTCTTCCACTTTTGTTCTTTCTAATTGATAATAGCTTTCTATACCTTCATCATTTGCTTGGAGCCTGGATGACAAGAGAGTACAGGAAAACTCGCAGGGAATTAGATAGAATGAAAAGGGTATATCCTTTACCATTAATTTTTCCTTTTAATAATGTTTTCTTCAAAGAAATTAATCCATTAATTGTTTTATTGATTGAATTTCAGAATGATCTTAGCTATGCAATTTCACAAACAAGTTCAAGGCAAAAGGTTATAAAGAAGATAGCTAAGCGTTGCGCAGCCATTGCTGTGTTTATAAGAAGAAATCCAGAGGAGAATTCCTGTTAAGTTGACTTATTATTGATGGAAGTTAATCCTGGGGTTCTTTCCTTTGATGTTAAAGCACAAAAAAATCTGTTTGCGTGTGTGTTCTAGGAAGTGGATATCATATGCCGGCTATAGTGTACATCGATTGCTGCAAATTACTGCTCTTCTGGGTGTTGAAAAGGGAAAGATCATCTCCGAAATGCTTCCATTTCACCAAATACAAGGTTTGAACCAAAGGGATATGTCGAATTCGTTTTGATTCCTAGAGTACTGTTCTTATTTCTATTGGTTTTGGTAGGTTTCAGGTTCAATTTGACACCCGAGTTGTATCTCGATAAAAGCAGTACTATATTAAGACACGCAGATCAGGAATCAGGGTCTGAAGAAGCTGAATCTCCTCCTCTTCCGCCCATCTCCGATGTAGCAAGTGATGATAATCATAGTGACAAGGCCGTTCTCTTGAATTCGATATCCATAATCCGAGGAGAACTGTCAGAACCATGCCTTGGTTGGCCTTTACTTCGAAGAAAATCTCCTGCAAACCAGGAGTTTAAGAAACATGAAGGTAGGGATACATCTGTTTTGGAATGGATAATGAGCCTGCCTGATCGAGTTACCTCAGTTGTTGACCAGATTGATTTGCATTCGAATCAAGCTAGCTTCAATGACAATCACAAGATTGAATATGGTGCAGAAGATTCAGTTTCTTCGAACATAAAAGATGCGGAACCAAATCCAAAGCCTGGTTGGCCTCTTCTTCGCATTACAGCTTCCACTACTTCTGATTCTTGTTTATCAGAATCTGAAACTACGAAGATGCCATTTCCAATGGTTGAGAGGGCGATGAACACTGCTATTGAATCACAGGAAGTCGACAATTGTGTGCAAATAGAAAATTCCTTGCCAGCACTAAGAAAGATGCCAAACAACTTGGCTCTACGTTGCAAGCAGTTCACACTCGGAGCTTAAGCAAGCAACTTCTGGTTTCTCTCCAGGTTATCTTTCAACACAAGCTTCTTTTGGAATTAAGCATATACATATAATTTTAAAGGCTTAGATACAAACAGCTTTTGTTCTTATTTTTGAAATGTTTTCTCGGTTTCAATTCTCTTACAGAAAACTTGATCGGAGAGGGAGGATGCAGCAATGTATACAAAAGGTTTCTTTGCAGTGGCAAGCCAGTGGCTGCTAAAATCATAAAATCGTACAAAGAAGCTTGGAGTGACTTCTCCTTAGAAGTGATATTGTTTCTTCATTGAAAAATAAGCCTATAACGCCCCTAATTGGAGTTTGTGTTGAAAATGATTATCACATCTCTGTCTATGACTTCTTTCCAAGAGGGAGTTTAGAGGAAATTCTCCATGGTAATTACATAAATCTCAAGGTTTCTTTACATTTTTCAAAAGATAAAAAAAAATACAATGGAGTTGCAAGTTTTTCTTTGTACTTCTTTATCCAAAACAGGTCAAAGCAGGCAATATGTGTTGCCATGGGAGGTCAAGTATAAAATAGCTATAGCAAATAGCAATTGCTGAGGCTCTAAATTACCTGCATAATGGATGCTCGCCACCTGTTATCCACAGAGACGTAAAATCATCCAACATTCTTCTCTCTGATGATTTTCAGCCACAGGTCCACCCACTCTTTTTGCCTTTGCCAATGATAATATTCGAATGCAACATAATGTTCTGTATGAACTCAACTCATTTTGGGATCCATCACAAGATTTAAGACAAGCTTAATTGACTGACGTAGCAAGCTTATTAACCTCGAATGCTTTTTTCACTTTACCCTTGGCCCTTGCAGTTATCTGATTTCAACCAACATGATTGATAGCAGTGTGGTGGGAACTTTTGGATATATAGCTCCCGAGTATTTCATGGAAGGAAGTAACAAAATTGATGTGTACTCCTTCGGCATTGTGCTTCTAGAATTACTATCGGGAAGGAGACCGGTTAGTTCAAAAGCTGTGAATCAACAAGAGAGCTTGATCCAATGGGTAAGAGTTCCTACTTTGTACTCATTTTTTACTAGTTGAAGATATTAGAAACCTTAGATCCGTTACTAGTTAAATAACAAAATTATGATCTTAACACAGGCCAGTGCATTATTAGAGAGAAGCAATCTCCAAGGATTTGTGGATCCAGCATTAGACGGAGATTTCAACGTTGCTGAAACGCATAGAATGCTTCTCGCAGCCACCCTCTGCCTCAATCAGTTAGATATACATCGTCCAGAAGTGAGCCCGCTAAACACTCATGCAATCTGTGCATCTAAGCCTCCTATTGAACGGAATATCACTCAGATTCTTTCCAAGCTGATTCCAATTTTTTCAGCGGGTGGAGGTCGACAATCCCCCATACTAGGACCAAGCCCTGCTTAATTAGTGAATTCCAGTGACCGAAAGCCCCTATATTTTCAATCATTTCTTATTGCTATCCTTGTTAAGAGATAAATTTCCTGCTTGACTTTATTTTCACTCATTTCTCATCACCATCTTGGTTAAGGGCTAAGTATCCTGGCAATACATTACATTAACTCAGTTCGCTCTGTTTTGTGCTTAAAACAGTTCACTGATTCAAACTTGTTAACCATTCAGATACTAAAAGTATTACAAGGGAACAAGGGAACAAGGAACCAAGGAACCGACAGAGGGCTATGATTTCCATGCCGCTTACATGAAAGAGCCAAATAAACAGGAAAATTATGGACTTCGCAAACTACATAGCTATATTTCAGTTTCATTAAGTGAAGATGATTCAACATCAGAACGCAAAAATCTTACAAGAAGATGCAATTAACTGGTAAAAAATGACGTTTAATGCTCAAGGAATACCTAAGATGAGAATAATGATGTACGTGAAAATAGAGAATCAAATGTCAAACAAGAAATGCAGAATATCTCGTTTCTATTAGTAAATCCCCATACTGTAAATGTTAGAGTTGGCTGACAAAAAAGGTATACAACTTGGGCGTCGGAGCCTCAATCCCACCAAGGAAATGAGTCTCTGAGACTACAATTCGATGAACGGTAAAAAGAATAAGACCACTCTTTCGTAAGGAAACAAAAAAATAACTTTTCCTCAACAAAGTGAAACCAATGAATAAAATCTCAGCCTCAAGAAGATAATGTGCCCGCAGCCATGAAATTAAACTAGCAGCACAACATGGATTATCGCCATCAAATCTTTTGGCAGCAGGTTTCCCGAACTTTCCAGAAAGAAGCCAATTGTCACCATTATCATCACCATTCATAGCAGATTTTTACTCGAGCAAGTTATTGCAACGCCGCCTAGAATCTTTTGCCTTTTGGCAGATGTTCTAGAATAAAAGGTACCTTGCTCCTACCTTGCAACACATTGCAACAATTTGGAACTGGAGAGGGGCCTTGCTCCTTCCTTCAATAATCATGACCAAGTTTCTTATCAAGCACCAAAGCAACCAAACTAATCAGAACTGATTACAATCCAACCTTCCATTGCTAGAACAAGATAGCTTTTCACCAATCGATGCATCAGAGGGGAATCAAAATGGAACTGTATAAGGCAATGCATAAATCTCAGCCTCAGGAAGATACTGTGACCGAGGCCACGAAATCAAACTAGCCCGACATGGAACACCATTGCCATCAGATCCTTTGACCGCGGGTTTCCCAAGCTGCTTTTTGGGAAGAAGCCAATTGTCACCATCATCATCATCATTCAGCTCAGGTTGAAGAACAGGAGGCAACAAATCCTCAAGCAAGGTTTTATATTGCAATGCAGCCCTAAGAATCTTATCGCCTTTGGCCAGTCTTCTAGAAGAAGAGGGTCTTTGCACCTTCATTGCAACATCAGGCCTCAGTTTCTGTTCAGACACAAGGGCAGCAGAACTTGGAACAGGAGAGGGAACTTGTTCCTTCCTTCCATCATCACGACACAGTTTCTGTTCAGGCACAGGAGGAACAAATCCAATCTGATCTTGATTAGAATCCCCCCTTCCATTGCTAGAGCAAGATGGTTTTTCACCAATCACTGCTTCAGATTGATGAGGATTTCTCAAAGAAAATTTCATCTTTATTTTCTTCCCTGATCATTGAACAATACACAAATAAACATCCCAATATACTTATGTACACATCACTCTAAGAAGCCTAATACAGTAATCATATTTAGCCAATCGAATAACAGTGACGAACACAACTCACCATCAACCTTGCATTCACTATAGGACACCATTTCCCTTTTCCTCTTGTGGCTGCTTTGGCTGCCATCAGATACATAGCAAACTGGTGGCTCGTTTTCTTCAGTAAAGTCACTTTTCTCCAATTGGTCTTCATCATTATAACCATTTTGACAATCATCAAGCTTCTTAAATTTCTTGGAGGGGCACTGAATTTTATCGATTCCCTTCCTATCCTTCTTTTTATCCTTCTCCTCCCTCTTATGTAATTTCTGTTCTGTTTTTGGTAGAACCTTTTCTCTCTCGAGCTTTATTGCACAACACAATATGGAATTTAGATTGGCGCACATTGGAAGACCAAATAACGACAGTTGTTACCATAAAACTGAAGTTTAGGGTCTAATTGCATATTGTGATAGGACTTTATCAAAGATCAATCACACAGTAAGAATTGCAAGGATCTTCAACATATAAATATCCTCAAGGTTTAAAATAGGATAAATTCTTCTAACAAAAATCCCTAAACATAAGGGCTTCATTGACATGTTCGATCTACAACAGATTTTTGTTATCCAAAACTCTAAAGTAAAATAGTTCCATTTATACATTTAAACTACAATAGATTTTCTGTACAGATATTCCTTATTCTAAAAGCCCTAAACACAAAGCGTTTCAGAGAATTTATCTGAACGACTACTATGGTTCTAAGTACAGATCTTTGTTGTTCTTGGTTACAGAGCATAATAAATAGAATACGCTTAACTTTACAAATACATTAACACAAACCATAATCAAGTATCACAATCGCATGCAGTTGAGCATCAAAAGTGAAAATCACAAATACACTTGCTCAACGAACCTTAATCGACTCGACCAATCCCCGATTTAAATGGCCGGTACGAGGGTAAGGGAAACAGCGTGACATTTTTGCCTTTTTCTTTTCGAAAATCCAAAGAACTTTCTCAACAAAACTATGGATCAGTATAGCCAAGATAGTTCAAAGCCAAGAGAACTTATAGATCTATAAGCTCTCTTAAATCTAGAATCCTCAAAAAGAAAACGCGCAATGGAGGCCGCTACAAACTAGGTTTTTTTTCCCTCTGATCTCTTGGTCTTACGAAGCGAGCTTGACCTTATATAGCGTGAGAAAGTTAGGGTTCGACCGACTTTACTACGTCAGCTCTTAGAGGTTTCAAATTAATTACCGATATTACCCTCCCCTCGTTGCCGATTTATAAAAAGGTCCCTTGGCCTTTCCGTAACTTCAATGTCAAGTTGCGTAAACAACTTGTATTCCGTTTTTTTATTCGTTTTTATGTGCGGTTAGAATTTTGAACTTTTCGTAAAAAAATTGCTAACCTCGTTTATTTGTGCATGAGATCTAGGAATTTCGTTTGGTTCGTCGGCGTATAAAACGCCACGTGGACGAAGCTTAATATTTCACCAATAACGGGGGAAATCCTGGATGTTATAGCCTTATAGGAACTGGAGCAGAGAATTGGAGAATAACCAAAATAACTCGTGATCTCCATAAATTTATATTAGATTCACACTTGAAAAATTATATTAAAAATTTTATGTATGCAGAGTTATAAAATTTTAAAAAATTCAAAATTATACAATTAATTGAAATTTTAAAAAATATAAAATTAAATAATTAATAAAAAAAATTTAAAATTTAAAATTTAAAAGAATATGAAAATTTAAAAAAAGACGACCGTACTTTTAAATCCTTCGGTCCATCCGTGGTAGTAGCAGAGCTCTACCCCGAGGCGGCGCCACCATGCTGTGGTTTCCCCGATTTGCGTTGATTAGTATAATAGACCAAAAAAATAAGATGTGATTATATTATCATTGAATATGTTAAACTATCATTGGGCACTTCAAAATTATCTATATGTTCAATTGAAAAAAAAATACCATTTTTTCTAAATACTTAAAATCTCATTATATAGAATAAAATTTTTAAATCGCTAACAATAAAATTAGTTTTTAATTTTTGGTACTCGTGAATGGTTCTCTAACTACCGTGATGGTTCCCTCATAAAACAAAATCCAAAAAAATACTCATAAATGGTCTCAACATGTGAACGTGGTATCAAGTGGAAATCTCTCACGATCATCCACAAACCTGGACCAAACAAGAGTTTCACAATACGATTGTGGTTCAGCAGTTCCACCAAGCGATTGTACAACATTCTCTTATTTGATTCTTATGTCCTATAAATATTTAAAATCGAAATACAATATATATCAGGTTAATATTTTATTTTAATATGTTTCAAGTGTCATAATCTATCACATTTCAATAATTTAGTCTAAAATTCTTAATAACGGCTCACTAAGAAATATTTTTCTCTTAGTTATTTTTTAAAGGGTAAACTATATGTGTGACCATTCAATGATTTTTGGTCATCGATATTTTAATTTGATCAAATAGATAATCCAACTGTTTAAATATTTTAATCAAGCCATCTACCATTAACAGTTAACAGTACAGGTACGTGAAGTGTCACAGACATAACGTCTCAACCTTGTTGTTATGCCGTGCAACACTTGAATGGGATAACTCCCAGACAAGTCAGCTTTTCCCAATATAGATCCTCACCTCAAATTAACTCGTCATTAAGTCAAGCCGCATTGGCTAAGAATAATCCTGGAAGGGAGATCCCGCGGGGCACAACGAATGCTAGGTTGCAACCCCACTCCTCAACCAAGAGCACAATATGGGATCCATTGGCCCCAAATCGTCCTTAGGTATCATCCTAAAGAGACATCGTATCATCCGCTTGGTCTCGATGCCCACACACCTAGGTTCCACATGAACCTAAGAGAATATCGCTTACACCATGGTACCTTCACATGCTAGCTCAGGGAGAAGTGATATTGTAACACCCCCAACCCGTATCCGACCAGGATACGAGTCTGAAGTGTCACATTGACTTTTCAAAAATTTATTCGTATAAAATAGTGAGTAATTTAAAAACTTTTATAACATTTAAATTATTCAAAACATTTACAAAATTATTCAGAGCTTATACAATATATTCTTTTGATTACATGCCAACTAGAACTTTATATACTAAAATACATATTATTCACCTCTCTTCTGATCTGACATTAAGTAAGGAGAACTGACCTGTCTTGTTCCTCTTTACTTTTCTTTTCGCTTTCCAAACCTACGTGTGAAACAATCACACGCTAAGTCGATGACTTAGTGAGGCATATAAAACATATAATATTTCATATAACATAAAACATAAAACATACATAAACATATACCATCATTATCATTAAGAAACACATAACATCATATGGTTCATGTAACACATTTCAAACCACTTACCTTTGATAACTATTTATAAACCCATCGTATACATATCACATTCAGTATGCTTGTTTAATCACTTTATTAGCCCATGTACACTAGTGAGAACTTAAAGTATGTGAGTACATTGAGGTTGTGCACACATATGCTGTCACCACAGCTCGATCAATGTCCCGAAGGACCAGTCCATAGATTCCGAAGAACCTAGGTAATCAGTCCATATGTCCCGAAGAACATAGGTAAACAGTCCATATGTCCCGAAGAACATAGGTAAACCCTCGACCCTTGGCATGCCAACTATACCCCTAGCTCTCATATCACATAACATGGGCATTATCATTTATAACAGTTCAAATTACTTATTCATATTCTTTCTCTTATAAACACATATCTTTTCTTTTCAGTCACGTATCACATGTACGTGTAATCATTGATCTCATAATCACATGTTCCTTCTCTTCTATCACATACCACATGTATGTGTAAACATATATCTAATATCATATGTTGCATGTAATCACATAGATCGTATCATATAGCTTCTTTCACATATACATGTAATCACTTAGTCTATTTTCATGTAATTCTTTTCACTTCTCATATGATTTTATTCATATCTCACATAGCTCATATCACCTTGCATTGTTTCATATAAACATAGATGTCATATCTTGTTCGCATATATTTTCTATATAACTCATATATCTCATAGTTCTTTCACATAGCTCACTATCATATTTTCATATCATATATCTTATAATAGATTTTTATATCATCATTTGTTTCCTTTCTACCTATTCATAATCACATAACATATACAAAGCATATCATTATCTTTAGTCATGCATACATACAATCAATGTAATACAGATAATCACATATAATTATAACAACACATAATCATGTCCATGACTTCATGCATATTACTCTAGGAAATAGACTCATCGCAAGTCTTATTTCCATTAAACACTATATATCACTAGTATGCACTCACCTTGGTCTCACTAGTCAATTCCAATCTCTTATCTTTCCCTTGATCGATCTTACTTGTCAAATGTTCCGGAATTGCTTTACGCGCAGAATCTACATAAATGTACATTTTGAGGCAATCATTAGATACCTACACCTTGTAATTGGATACTAGCAACTTAAACAAACTTATTAAACCAATATTCACATTTTTCCTTTAGGGGGTATCGATTCCCTACTGGGGGTATCGATACCCTCATGACATTATGGAATTCTGTCGTTTGAGAGGGTATCGGTACCCCTTTGAATGGGTATCGATTCCCCCTAACCCATAAATCATTTTTCAGTACAAAAATTACTTCATTTCCTCTCAAACACTTCATATATCATCCTCTTTTTCATTCTTAACTCTAGTACACATACTTAAACCAATCTATATTCATTTGTTTCATCTTAAACCTCAAAATCCTATCTTCCATATGTAATTCAATAATTACATCAATTTTGCAATATGTTTCAAATCCAATTCTATTACTTCATATCTCTTACTTAGATTGATAACAAGTCAAATCCAACTTTCAATTCTTGTTATGAACTCTATTCCCATATTTCATTCAAGAACCTCAAATCTTTAATCTTCTCTATCTCCTTTATCTTTTGATCTTAAGATAACTTAAGCTTTCCTTAAGCTTAGTTATCATCTAATGATCAAAACTCAATCTTAAACTTAACAAATAATTAACTAAGTAGAAGACTCACCTTTGAGCTTGGAGATACGGGAGGAGAGGAAGAAGAAGAAGAAAAGAGAGTTTCTGGAGAAATCTCTCAATCTTATCCTGTATATATCATTATCTTATCTTTCGAAGTCAAATTACCACTTTTCCCTTAAAATCCTTTAATAATTACTAACAACTTTTAGGATTTATTTTCAGATAAATCATTGAACTAATTCATTCTTCTACTTTAATCACCAAATTCTGAAATTTTACAACTAAGTCACTAACCCATAGTTTGGGATGTTACAACTCTCCCCTCCTTATAAGAAAATTCGTCCTCGAATTTTCACTGCACATTTTGATAAGAACATATCTTCTAATGTTCTTATGTTGCTTCCCTGACTTATTCTTTCTTGTCATCATCAGACACTTACTTTTCAAT